GGGAAGATAAATTTATTAAGTGATGAGAGAGAGAGAGAGGGAGAGAGAGAGAGAGAGAGAGAGAGAGAGAGAGAGAGAGAGAGAGAGAGAGAATCTTTCTTGGAAGATCATTTCTAAACCACAAAATGATTTGACATAGTCTTAAAAGAGCAACTAAAAATATTGCTGGGTGTGAGGCTGGGGCTGGGTGGAAGGAGTCTGGACAGCTGGATGATTTGGTCCCTGGAAACTTGCAGAATAGGGCCAGCCTGTCATTGTTAGTTCGCTGTTGCCCTCTGCTGGTGAATCTGTTGTCATCCCATGAAACTGCCGATTCACAGAGCTGGGGGTGAAGGATCTGGGGAGGATCGAGTCTCCTTCCTCTCACAAATGGCAGTGATGCTGGAGCTGAGGCACAGTGGTGCAAGAAGTGATACTCGGGAAGACTGGCTCTCATAATAGAGGGGATGTGTCTTATGCTTCTAATTTTTCATTCCATGAACTGATCGTTGGGCGAGACCTTGCTCTCTTCTGGGCTCTGTAATAGGCACAGTGAAGTGTTGCAGATATGAATGAGGCATGATTCTGTGCTAGAGGGGTTCCCACTTAATGTGTGTGGAGGGGAAGGGTATTAAAGAAATCACGGTAATACAGAGAAAATTGTGACTAGGGCCATTACAGAGGCACTGAAAAAGGCTGGTGTATATTTAAAGGAAGAAAGATGAAATTTACCTGGGGATAAGGTGAGGGCAAGGGTCCATGAAATAAATAGCATTTAAGCTGGGAACTTAGAGGATAGGTAGCATTTTTATTTTTAAAAATATATATTTTATCATAAAGGTGGAATATTTTTATTATAAACTAAAACTGGCAAATAAAAGCACAAAATGAAAGAAAGTCAATTGAAATTTTACCACTCAGAAATAATCAATGTTAAAATTTTGATGTGTGCATTATTTTGCTGTTGTTACAAAATTGGAACTATACTGTAGATAGCATACGTATCCTACACTTTCTATTGTGGCATAAACATTTCCCAAATGTTACTGATTATTTTTTTAAATGTGCTGTTTTATGAGGGAGTATTTCAATGTGTAAAACCAAGGATCAAACTCTTTAAGCATCATGAGCCAAGGCTTATAGGTTTTATAGAGGAAGGACTGTTCATTCTTTATGAAATCATTTCAGAAAAATTTTTTGGACACCTACAGCCTTGGAGACACAGTGCTAAGATCTGAATATTTCTTCACAGAATATGTAGTGTAGGAGAGGAGACAGACATAAATTACATAATCATAGAAATAAGTATACAACTTTAATCTGGGATAAGTACCATGAAAGAGAGAGGCTATGAAAGTAGCATGTGAGGGGCTTCTAAGTGGATCTTAGAAAAATAGTCACAGAGTTGTGGGAGATATGCTGGAGGCAGGAATAATGGAGTTCAGCTGGATAGGTGTTAACTAGGTGAAGAAGATCAGACTATTGCCAACAAAGGGGATGTCATATACAAAAGCCCTTAAACTGGAGGAGGCATGGTAAAAAACAAAATTGAAATAAGATTAAGGAGAATAGAATGGAGAGACTGGCTTGAGATAAGGTTGAAGAAGTAGGAGGGGCCTGATCCTGAAAAGCCTTTTAGACCAGTTTAAGGGTTTCTGTCAAACTGTTGAAATGTTTTAAGACACAGAGGACAAGTGAAGAGCAGATTAATTTTCTCAAAAGAACATCCTCCTTGTAGTAGGGTATAGAGGCTGGGAGATAGCAAGAGTAGACATAGGTAAAGCAAGTTCAGGGGGAGAGCATCCCAGGACTAGTGAGGAGATGATTGCAATAGTGTACGTGGGAGATAATAGAAGATTGGGCCAGGGTGGAAGTGATGGAGATGTAGAGAAGTGGATGGTTTTAAGACACATTTTGGGAGTAAGTGGTTAGAAATTGGCCTGGAAGTTGAGGAAATGTTACAACTAAAACATGACTCAAAGTCTAGCTTGCGAAACTGAACAGAGGTAAGGTTCTTTCCTAAGACAGGGAACACTGAAAGAGGACAAGATTGTGAAGTGGCTGGGTGGGGGGGGGAGGACATTTACTAGAGAGAACAATCCCAGGAATGATATGTATCATCACACCTCCTTGCAGAAGTGAGTTTAATAACATTGACACACCACACTAAAGGACCCTCTTTTTGGAGGTGGTGATACTGAGGAGAAAGCAAACACGATACCTAGATTTGATGTCTCAATAGAGCTGGTCCCTGCACTACTGCTTGCTATGTGTAAAACACTGGGAAAATCATTTTACATGTGTGTGCAATTTATCTTCCTTGTCTTTAAAATGAGAGTAGTCACATTTAGTCTACAGGGTTATTGTGAGCATTAAATGAGAGCACTGATATCCAAGGACTTTGTAAACCTCCATGAGCTGTACAAACTCAATTCATTATTGTTACTCATAGTTTAATATTTGTTGTTACTATTGCCATCTGAACTTCAAGGAGATTAACATCAGGAAAGTATAATCCAATGTTTTCTCCATTAGTACTTCAAGAAAAGAAGATGTGATTGAAGTCAAAATAAATAAATATACCACCCAGAAGCTGGAGATGGTAGCTCCAAACTATTTATAAGCCTGTATGTTTACTTGAATTCAGACATTCCCAACATGCAAATTATGCAGAGTCTGTGTCAGAGCAGAGCACTCTGTGTTCCTAAAAAGAATTCTCCTTTTTCCCGGAATCCTTTACCTTTTAAAATAAATCTCATTATGGAGTGCTGACATTTTCAGAAAAACCATTCAACCAAAAGCTACAATTTTTTTCAGAATAAAAACAAGTCTGGTTTATTAGGCAGCAGCTTATAACGTACTGCTAAGTAGATACAATCTATTTCGAGAACTTTATGTAGATATCTGATAAGACATTTCAGAGTCCCAGTCTCTGACTAAGACCGAGAGTGTTAAGCCAACTATCAAGAATTCTGTTTCTCAGTGGAGTAGGAGTTGAATATTGCTGTGTGTTAGAGTGGGTGGAAACCATAGAGCCAAGATTTAACCAGATCTCTTGGATTCTATGCTGTTTCTTTCCACTGAATACTAACTTTGGTGTCATATCCTAGCAGAATTATTTTGTATGTGATCTTCTACAAAAGGCTGTGAGTAGATGTAGAGCTAATAAATATAAAAAATGCAATGGCTGGTGTATACTAGGACCTGTCAATCTCATCCGTCTATCATTCCTTCTTTTCTTTTCCCTTCTTCATCTCCATTTTCCTCTCTTTCATGTTTCTTCCTTTCCTCCTCCCATCGATTCAACACCTAATTTTGCCTTGCCTATCTTTTGACTACAAGAGGAGTGGCATATATTTGAGTGACCTGAAGTCACATAGTGACCTAAGTCCTTCTTGGTAATAATTATAGCTAATTTTAGAGCCCTACCTGAGAATCATATCCCTTAATCTTCTCCCCAAACTTAAGAAGTGAGTATAATATCATCTGCATTTCACAGATAAGTAACCTGAGACATAGAAAGTTTAAAAGTCCAATCTTATAGAGTTGTAGGTGGTAGAGCTGGAAGTTTCTACCCACACTGTCGCCATACCATCCAAAAGCCTCCAAAATGATTATAACTGCCATTCACTTATTCACTCGGACTGTATTTATTTAGTGTAGGCACATACAACACACACACACACACACACACACACACACACACCCTTTCTTACACACAGGATTTGTACTCAGTCCCACCTTCTGTACCAGTGTCTATTCTGTTTGGTCAGTGCCCACATAGCATCCATTGTGAACGTTTTAAATATCATTCCTTCTTATAAACGATGACAAACCCATGCCCAAAGGAGAAAACATCAGGATGCTTTCAGAGAGTATAATAAGGGGCCAGATTTATAGAGGGGTTTAATAAATCTTCTTTGAATGAGGCGTTTGAGCCATGACTTTAATGTTGAGTGTTCTCAGCTTTCTGTGAGATAGTCCTAGGTAGAAGCTAGAACATATTGAGAACTGTAGTTTGTGTTAGCGACCTTGGACACAAACCTCACTCAAGAGATGCTATTTAAAATGGTGAGCAGGGAAGAATCATCATTCAGTTTGTATTTTAAGAATTGCATGTGTGGTTACTGGGGGAAAATGGTTGCGTACAGGGTGCTCATAGCATTTGCAAATTATATTGATTCTATATGGTGAGAAATCAGACATGAATTGGTCACCAATTAACCTTTTCAGTTTTTTGTACAAAACATGTACTGAAACAATTCTAGTAAGTCATAAAGTCCTATATCCTGAGGGGTCTAGTATATAGAAAGGAAAAGTGTTTTAGCATCAGTGGAATTACAGAACAAGCTCACTTTTAATCAGAAACCATTGTTCTCAATGTTTTCTGTTTTCTCTCAGAGGAATTATTAACTTTTAATCAGAATTTTCCATGTATGCCTGGAGGGCTCTCACTTCTGACACAAATCAAATGAGTAAACACTTATCTACTATCTATTTTGCCTTTGGTTCCTAAGAATTCCACATCATTCATTTGGCTATATTTTTATCAGAAGGATATAGTAGCTTTAAATAGTGCTGGTTTGCATTAAGTCTATGTTTTATCTCCAGCTAGTAATGTGACTTTTGGAGATTAGCATAAGTTAATCATTAGTGAGTAAATTTAGAACAAAGATGTTTTTGTGTCCTTCATGGAAGATATGCTCCTAGAGAATAGGGAAGATGTGAAAAAGTAGGAATGAGTTGAAAGCCAACATGATGTAAACTTGGTATTTCTCTACTGGATTCTGTCATGAGCTCTGTGGTGGTAAAACATTTCCTGACATCCTCCTCCTTCCCTCCTCTCTTAATCTTGGGATCAAAGTGGGAGAGGACGGGTGGCATTAGGTATTTCTCAGTTTCCCTTGCTTCTGAGGTGATCATTCCTCACTGTTTTCTGCCTCAGATGTTTCACGGAATGCATATCTTTACCTTGGGGAAACAATGTCATCAATCTTTCTTCTCTGTGATGACACCCACAGGATAGACCACTGGAACAATGAGAAGGAGAAGATTTTGCTGCTTACAGATAAGACTCTCTTAATCTGCAAATATGACTTCATCATGCTCAGCTGTGTGCAGATGCAGCGGATTCCCCTGAGTGCTGTCTGTCGCATCTGCCTGGGCAACTTTACCTTCCCTGGGATGTCACTGGACAAGTGAGTATGATGCCTTAGACTTGGAGAATGGCTCAGTAGGAGTGAGGCACACAGAGAAATCAGTAACAAAGTCAGTTGAGTATGGTATGCTGGGAGAACTCAGTGGGACAGTGAAGATCTACAGTGAAACACATCAAACTACTGAGTTCATACTCTATGTGAAGCACCAACTATAAAACTTTAAGTAAATTTTGTACTTTTATTTAAGAACTTGACATGTGACTAGTAAGTATAAGATGAGAGGAGCTGTGAGAACAAAGAGGAAATGTTCTTGACACAATTCATATGGCAGATATTTAGAGAAGTTTTACAGGAAAAATACGTGAGCCAATATTTATGGTCAAGGAGGAGTTATCCAGGGAAGAAGAACTAAAGTTGAATAGCATTCCAAGCAAAAAGAACAACACATCCAAAAGAGTGGAGCTGGAAAAACATGTGCTAATTGTTCTGTAAAGCCTAGTGGTAGAAGCCAAGATGGCTCACAGCTCTGTAAGTCTGTTTGGAATCTTCTTGGGAAGCTTAGAGGAAGTGGAAGTCAACTGTGTCAGAGATGTTGACAGTGAAGGAACTGAGTGAGGGCTGCTAAGGATTGTTGAAGTGGGTAAGTCCTGCTATGAGCTTTGAAAAAAATGCATTTCCTAAATGTTTTAAGCCAGAAAGACCACCATGTTCCTCTAAGACTGAGTGTGAGCTCTTCCTGTTGAACTGTGAGCTCCTTGGAGGCAGATGCCATTTTTGTTGTGATTTAATTAAGCACCTGGCATTGGGCCTGGTACATAGAGAGAACTGAGAAATCTTTTTAAGATATAAAAAAGCACAGCTTGAACAAGTGATTGATTTTCCTTAAAAAACTTACCATATTAAAGATCTATTTTTTCAAACTTACTCTTTTCTTGGATGCAAGAAGTGATTAATTCCTTAATTCATTTAGCTATATTAACTCTTAAAAGTGTTAGATTTTTAAGTGATATATATATATATATTTATATATATATATATATATACATTGTAACAATGTATTTAAATATTATAAAAACATTTATTTTTAAGACTTCTCTTTTCTACTCCAGACCCTTAGTTCAGCATTGTCTCCACAGGTAACAGCAGTTTCTTGTCTACTTTTAATGAAATGCTGTATAAATATAGAAGAATGAAGATGTCTCTGTGTATATATGCAAATGTTTACCCACATTTTAAAGTACACATCTATACACATACTTATTACAAATTATTTTACTCAATAGGAGCGCAAGTCATAAACCACCCTGTTTCATGATATATATTCAATGACATACTTCAGAGATGAATTATATGATTATCTACAGATCAATTTCAGTCTTTAATACTGCACAATAACACATTTTAAGTCTATTACATTTATGTATCCCCTCCCTGATTGGTATTTATTTTACCTTTGCTATTAACAACAAAGTTGCTATAAATATTTGTGCATACAAGACTTTGTATAAATGTGTAAATGCATCTGTAATATGGATTTCCAGAAGTGGAATTATTAGGGTAAAGTCATGTGAATAACTGAGAGAGATTGTCAAACTGTCTTCCACATAGAGCATACTAATTGATGCTCTCATAAAGCTTAAGAGTATCCTTTGATGCATACTCTAACCAGTAGTGTGTATTATAAAACTTTCTTCCTTTACCATGAGATAGATTAAAGAAAAGTATTTTAGGGATGAACATGGTGGTATATGCCTGAAATTTGAGCTATGCAGGAGGCAGAGATTGGAGGATCACATTTGAGTCCAGTCCTTGCAAAAAAGTTAGTGAGAGAGACACTATCTCAAAAAAACCAAGCTGGGCATATTGCAATGCACCTAAAATCCCACCTACTCAGGAGGCAAAAGGATGTTGGTCTTAGATACAATCCAGGAAAAAGTATGAAATCCTATATGAAAAATAAACTAAAGCAAAAAAAGCTAGAGATGTGAGTTAAGTGGTAGAGCACCTAGCTAGCAAGTGCAAGGCCTTGAGCTCCAACTCCAGTACTGCAAAGAAAAAGTATCTTATTTTTTGGTTTAATTTACACCACTAGAACCTGAAAGAAGTTGAGCATGTTTTTCTTCAGTTAGCAAGTATTTTTTTTTTTTTACTTTTCTGTATACTGTCTTTTTAAACCATAGCCCATATATTTTTTTCTATAGGGATATTGGATTTTTCTATTGATTTTTAAGCACTTCATCTTTTTCTGCCATTTATATTGGCTCATTTACTCTCGCAATGCTACTTTTACGGGCTTTAATGTTAAATGTTTCCCTAATAGAAACTTGTTTACCTAAAGTCACTTTCCTCATCTTTGTTTCCTGCTTGTGCGTTGTTTCTGTAAAACTTGCCTGTAGTGGTCGTTATTGGTAACTTTAAGTGCACTTACTTGAATAATTCTTCCTCTTGATGTGCTCTGGTAAGTTGTGTACATTAAGCCTCTACTTTGAAAGATGACAAATCTGCATATTTCTACTATTTCTCAATTCTCCTGTCCTTTGCCCCCCTTCTTTCATTAGTTTTACCAAATGTCGTTTTTATGGAACATTTGATTTAAGTTCCTATGAGGTATCCAATTATTACCACTGGGAGTTGATGTAATTCCAGCCCTCCTAATTAACCTGTGTGGCTTGATCCAGATTTGCATTCTGTGGTTAGAGTGAGAACGCCTGTGCCAGCAGCTGGCATGCTATTAGATGTTAAAGGGCTTTCTCTGTGCACCCAGGGTGTGATGAAGGGGCGGTTGTTTGTGTATGGCTCAGGGATTTTTAGCAAGCCTTTAAATTAGAATACCAGATTAGCAGTAGTAGGGTCTTGGGTTCCAGTCCTAATTTTACAGCTATTAATTTTGTTTCCTCGTCTATTAAAAGGTGACAGTAATAGTCATTCTGCTTCATTAACAGTCTTAGTGTTAGATTCTGATAACATAGCATGAAAGCACTTTGTAATAGATACTAGGTGTTAACAAGTTTTGATTTTCTCCCAGATTAAAGCTTTTGTTAACATGGAAGTAAGTAGATTAATATGATTGTTATCTTTGCTCCCAACCGAGTTGGTCCTTCTCAGGCATTAAGTCACCCATATAAGGTCACAGGTAAGGTAGCAGCAGGCAGAGAAAAGAGTAGGAGGCAAGGGAAAATCAACTGCTAAATAACTACAAACCAAACTCAGAGAATAGCCTGGGCAGAGTCTGAGCAAGTTCCCTCATTAAAAGAAAGTGCAATGATTTAACATTGGTATATACGGGCTGAGGTCGTAATGCTGACATTGTTTGTCAGCTGCCTTTGCCACACTTGTGCCGTATGACCTTCAACACTCTGCACTTTATAGATAAGAAAAATGAGACTAAAAGAGGTTGTCAGATTTCAGTACCATAAGCTATTGAGTGTTAGAGCTGGCTCTCAAAACATTTTTTTTGTTATTGTTACTTTTTTTGTGTGTTAGTACTAGGCTTTGAACTCAGGGCCTTATACTTTGCTAGACAGGCACTCTACCACTTGAGCCATGTACCTAATCCTTTTTTGCCTCAGTTATTTTTCAGGTAGGCCCTTGTGTTTTTACCTGGGGCCAGCTTTGGACTGTGATCCTCCTACCTATGCCTTCTGTGTAGCTGGGACCACCGTAGCTCTAGGTGGAGATAACCTCTCCTTTGCAGAACTTCAGCTTCTCATAGGCCATGAAGAAGACTGTCTGAACTTAGCAGAACATGTGCCAACATATCCCAAGTCCTGTTCTCACAAAACAGTTGTTTTGTTTATTCAGCTTGCCTTTGGCTTAATGTGAAGGGAAGGGTGATGGCAAGAGACACAACTAAAGGCTATGGATCATTTATTTGTGAGATGAAGGCATACAGATTCTTTTTAGGTTAGAACATTCACCAGAGACAAACCAGGAAATAGTAAAAGACTTGGCTTATCCTCCAGGCTAATGAGTTGTTAGTACATCTCTTTTATTATCATTCCTTATCTGAGGTGAGAATCCTAAATCTAATTTGTCTCATAATTAGATGAATTCCCATATTTTAATTAAAGACTATTTTCTATGGTCCTATTGTGTTTATAACCTCTCAGAAAAGAAGAAGGAAGGTACGACTCGGTTTCCATGTGAATGAACCATAAGAGTAAAGCTATGACTAATCTTAACCACATCATTTCCTTGCTGTTTGAATTTGGACAAATCACTTTAACTATTTTTTTTCAGACAGGGCTTCACTATGAAGCCCAGACTGGCCTAGAACTTGTAATTTTCCTGTCTCAGCCTCCAAGTACTGAGTGCTGGGATTATAGGTGTGTACTACCACACCCAATATCCCTCTAATTCTTATGGGTCTCAATTCACAACCTATAAATTATCAATAATAAAATCCTTACCAGGCCTAACTCATAAGGTTACTGTAGATTTAAATGATGAATGTGAAAGTGTTTTATAAATTGTAAAGTACTAAAAAACGTTTTCATTTAAGGAAATAAACTTATATTGACTTTTCACCTCTAAAAAAATATGCTCATAATAAGGGCAAGATTCTGAGTGGTCAAATGACTTATCCAGTAGCGGAAATAGAAGGTTTTAGGATCTAAACATGAGACTCTCATTTCTAGTCCTTCTCTTTGTCATGCGTCCAATTCTTTTGTGTCCTCAAATGCACTGTAATTTTTGAGGGTAAATGAGACCCTTTCTTTAGCTCAGTTCCCTTTCGAACTCAGTAACAAGGAGGTAGAATGTAAAGAGCAGATTCTGAAGGCAGGCCACTGTAAGTCAGTCTCAGATCTGCCTCCAGATAAGCTGAACCAAGTTACTTAACCATCCATTCCTCAGTTTCCTCATTTGTGACCTGGGGGTGAGAAGCATTAGTGTCTCTCTTGGGTTTGTGTTGAGGAGTCAATGAGATAACACATGTCCAATGTTTTGAATAATATGGTAAGCAGGAAGCAAAAGTAGTATGTAGTAAATTTGACAGAAAGACGCTGGTTTCAGATTCAGGGACCTGGGTCCTAGGTCCT